GCCGCGAAAACATAAAACCATGTCTGCATTTGTGATCGGAGAAATGACAAACAACAAGCCCTACTCTACACTGCCCAAAAAGCTCGCTTTAAATATATAAAATATAAAAACTCTTTAAATATAAAAAACATACTTGCAGTGTTTGAGTCAGAACAGCCAGCATTGTAGTCTACTCTCCCAGTATCAGGAAACGGTCCTCCATAAAATGTGCTGCACACATCTGAATATTTGGGTTGAAGTGTTCTGGAACAGTGTTGTAAATACAACTTAACCACTGATTTCTAGTCGTGTCCATTTTTGGAAGGCCAAACAAAGTAGTTTCACTTTCACAACGAAGCACACAGCGTCTTTACGACATGGCGGCGGAAACAACAAAACTACAGCGAGAATAAAAGTTACGCCTTATTTCTTTGCGTGAACATTTGGGCGGCGTTATGCAAATCTTCCCACATAGTGACGTAGACATGTGGGGGCGTGTTAGAACGAGCCGTTTTAGGTAGGCGTGGTTGACTCTTAACTTTTATAAAGAATATCTCTTTGGATTTGAGACTTTAGTCTTTGCAACTTTACAGATCTTCTTTATGCACCAAGAGCTTGTAACACTCCAAAGAGAAAGGAAAAATTTAAATCGCATCATATGACCCCTTTAAATCAGGACGTGATGATTGTCTTGCTGGGTCGTTTATACTGTTTGTGCCATTTAAATATGATATTTTCTTTTTAATATAATGATTCGTAGGATTGCCTGTTACAAGCGCCCCAGCAGTCTCTATACAAAATAGTTTTATAGCATGCCATATAACATTAACATAACATCCTTCGGTAATTATAAATGACTGTGATTGGTCCGTCCTTATCAGCGCTGAGAATAGCAACAAGTACCAAATCACAGCTGCTACTGCACAAGAGATCTGGACGATCACTTACACTTGAAGAAAAATATGAGACCTACCACTACATTAAAAATACCTTGACTTGACATTAAAAACCAGGGGGGAAAGGCAATACATTATTAAAACTCATCGTGCCCGACCAATCCGTCCATTTTATATACTGTAGCCTACTTGTTTCGCTGGTAACTGCCATTCTACCCTACAATGTACAGACCTTGTCCTTTGTGCGGAATGACTCGCACTTATTAAAGTCGCCCGCTAGATGGCAGGCGTGTTCCATTGTGCACATGCGATTGCAGTTTACCTCAGAAATTCCATGTATAATTCATTTAGTACATTTCCGCCGACATAACTATGGATTGTACTTTAATAAATCACAGAATGCATAACTTGGATTTTTCCAGCATTGGCACGATGTGAGTCACCGCAGTGTCATATCGCTATCTAATGCTCCTCATGAATGAATCAGACCATAAGGGCTAGTTCACAGAAATAATAATAATAAATAATAGTTCCTAATTCGTGTCTTGTCTTTTGTTTCAGTGGAACACACACACACACACACACACACACAAATAAAGTAGGAAGAATCTTCACGAAAGCATACGGACAAAAAACACAAAAGCTAAAGGTAGGCTAGTTCTTATGAATTTTACAATATATCCTATTTTAATTTAGGTTCTTGCTTTAGATATTAAGTAGTAACTTAACTTAAGTCATCTACACAATTTGCGTCTCTCATTTCGTTAAAAACTATAGAGGCCAAAAACAGTTTATAACATAGTTTTGTTAGCCTACGTAAACCCTTTAAATCAGGGCGTGATGATTGTCTTGCTGGGTCGTTTATACTGTTTGTGCCATTTAAATATGATATTTTCTTTTTAATATAATGATTCGTAGGATTGCCTGTTACAAGCGCCCCAGCAGTCTCTATACAAAATAGTTTTATAGCATGCCATATAACATTAACATAACATCCTTCGGTAATTATAAATGACTGTGATTGGTCCGTCCTTATCAGCGCTGAGAATAGCAACAAGTACCAAATCACAGCTGCTACTGCACAAGAGATCTGGACGATCACTTACACTTGAAGAAAAATATGAGACCTACCACTACATTAAAAATACCTTGACTTGACATTAAAAACCAGGGGGGAAAGGCAATACATTATTAAAACTCATCGTGCCCGACCAATCCGTCCATTTTATATACTGTAGCCTACTTGTTTCGCTGGTAACTGCCATTCTACCCTACAATGTACAGACCTTGTCCTTTGTGCGGAATGACTCGCACTTATTAAAGTCGCCCGCTAGATGGCAGGCGTGTTCCATTGTGCACATGCGATTGCAGTTTACCTCAGAAATTCCATGTATAATTCATTTAGTACATTTCCGCCGACATAACTATGGATTGTACTTTAATAAATCACAGAATGCATAACTTGGATTTTTCCAGCATTGGCACGATGTGAGTCACCGCAGTGTCATATCGCTATCTAATGCTCCTCATGAATGAATCAGACCATAAGGGCTAGTTCACAGAAATAATAATAATAAATAATAGTTCCTAATTCGTGTCTTGTCTTTTGTTTCAGTGGAACACACACACACACACACACACACACATAAAGTAGAAAGAATCTTCACGAAAGCATACGGACAAAAAACACAAAAGCTAAAGGTAGGCTAGTTCTTATGAATTTTACAATATATTCTATTTTAATTTAGGTTCTTGCTTTAGATATTAAGTAGTAACTTAACTTAAGTCATCTACACAATTTGCGTCTCTCATTTCGTTAAAAACTATAGAGGCCAAAAACAGTTTATAACATAGTTTTGTTAGCCTACGTAAAAAGTGAGAAGACTTTGCCAACTTTAATCTCATTGTGTTTTCTTCATTTGTTAGCCATTTGATTGATGATACTCAAGCTTATGAAAGCTTTAGCCATGTCCTTTGCCTTTGTTTCTCAACAATTGGAGTCTCTTCACAGTTCATTCCTGCAGTACAGAAGATAAATTCACCCTCAAATGTATCCCAAAACTTTGGAAGCGCTGGAGGAAATCACATGATGCCGCTTAATGTCGAGCTGACTTTAGTCTGTAGGCTACTGCTGCTGCTGAATAAACCTCACCACAAACCATAAGGCCTATAACCATTCACTTGTTTGTCCAAATACACCGCCAAGAAGAAGGCTTGAATGTAACCATGGAGCTTTGGGTGTAGTGTGAATATTTAATGTAGCCTAATTAAAATGGTTGATGTTAATGCCATGTAAAGTTCACCTAATAGACCAAGACAAGCTGTTTCTACAAAGCCTTTAAGCACTGCTTCAAAAACGCACCCCATGGCACTGAGTACAAAACGTTTATTTTTAGACACAGTTTGTGGTCCTGCTATGTATGCAAGTAGGATATTAAACGTGCTATTCCATAAGTCACACACAATTAGACACTGCAAATTTATACTATGGCACACTATAATGTAATCGGTATGGCAGAACGTTCTGAACTAACAGAACTAGACCCTGCTGTTTTCAATTAAACTGGAAGGCTGAAAGGTATGTCCGGCCGCCTCACATCTTACAGTCGGACAAGTGAGAGTAAAAGATGAGCTTGGCTGCATTTACCTTTTATATGTGTACTTTATAAGTTTCCATTTTGAACCTAAAATGGAATTTAAAACAAAAATAGGTTTTAAAGTTTCTCAAGACAGTCTCACTGGAAAATCTTGATTTTTGAAGATCATATAGGCATTACAATGATTGAAAACATGGGAGATTTTTGTTTTAGATAAACAGATAGATAATCTGAATAACATAACCAGAATAACATAATCTGAATAATATAAACCAGAATTCCTAATGACAAACTGTGATGCATGTATCAGTTTCTAATTGTTCAATAAACAATGTAGAACAATTATGCTAAACACTTTTGAAACACTTCATTTTTGGTGGCGTGGGTTCATCCAGGCTATAAACCTTGAACTAGCTTGAGCCAGAGTTTTGGTTGAAAACTAAGATGGTGTTTTACTGAGTTATTAAACCTCCTTCAAAGTCTCATTTCATGACTGAAGAACATTCAGGTTTACAAGGGGCACATTTCAT